GGGGCGGGCTCGCGCGGCCGAGTAGCCGCCGCCCCCGGGGCCCCCCGCGCCACAGCCGCCCGCAGCCCGCCTCGTCCCCGCCGCGCCGCGGGCCAGGCCCCGGGAGGAGCCGGGAGGGAGATGACGCGTCCTCGCCGCAGTCGGCTGGCAGCCGGACTCGCCGCGGAGCCCTAGGAGGAAAGAGCCCGGGAGCGGAGGCTCGGCGCGCCCCGGGCCGCGGGAGCCGCGGCAGCCGCGTCCCCGCCGAGGACTCGCCCCGGCGCTCTCCGAGTGGAGGTTGGGAGCATTTGCAGCAGAATATTTTGGCTTTCCCTCCCCCTCCATACATTTCCCCCTCCTCCTCCTCCTCCGAATTTTCTTCCTCCCGGGAAGTGAATTGCTGATGCCAAGGGGACTTTATTCATTAATGATGCAACCGGATTCGTTTCAGGATTATGTTGCACGAATTGAATTTTGAATGAAGGAGGTTTTTTTTTTTTTTTTTTGAAAGAAGTGTTGACTCTTTAGTTCGTCGTACTTTTAATTATTATTTTATTTAAGTATACAATTTAATTGTTTTATTCTCTTAAAAATATTAAATCTCTATTTTATGGAAACTTACCCTCAAGATATATATGTTTATGGATGAAATTGAAGACGCTGCCGTCAAATGAGGTGGCTGGTGTGTTGGATGTTTAATTCAGCACCGGCATTGCATGACAGTTGTTGAAATAACAAGTGGTTTATTATTAGTTTTTTTTTTTTAAACCACGTCTTTAAAATTTTAGGTTCAGATAGTTAACAGTAGACATCGTAAGGGCAATTACAAGAAAACCAGCAGAAATCGCAGCCAACATGTCCGGAGAAGTGCGTTTGAGGCAGTTGGAGCAGTTTATTTTAGATGGGCCGGCTCAGACCAATGGGCAGTGCTTCAGTGTGGAGACGTTACTGGACATACTCATCTGTCTTTACGACGAATGCAATAATTCTCCATTGAGAAGAGAGAAGAACATTCTTGAATATCTAGAATGGGGTAAGTTTTTTTTTTTTTTTGATTACTCTTAACGTGTAGTGGAGTAGAGCGTTGTTAACTCTAATGAAAAATATGCATATATGTACTTAACAAAAGAACAAACGCCCATTAGCGAAGACTTTCCTCCCCTAGGGGAGAAAAGCCAGGAGTAACGCTTTCGCCTTGGTGTTGGGCCTTGTGAACTCACAGCGTTTCGGGCAGCAATAAGAGCTTTAAAACTAGTCCCGGGGTGGGCAGAGGGGACTGAGCGCAGTTGTCTCACACATGGCAGAGTAACAGCCATTCAGCGGGAAGGTATTTGTTGGTTGGGACATTCCTTCCCGGTCTTTGGAAATCACTGGAGATGGGAGGAGATGTTGAAGTCTCTGTGTGTATTTTGGGATAACAGGAACGTGGAGGTGGTGATCAGTGTGTTTAATTTCATTTCTATATAGCACAAGCAAGGGAAACATGGGCTTTCCAAAAATTATTGGGTTCCTGAGAGATAATAGAAATTGTGTGTGTGTGTGCGTGTGTGTGTGTGTGTGTGTGTGTGTGTGTGTGTGTGTGAAGCAGACAGTATTTGGAGAATGTTTGGAGGCGGCTCCACCTGCCTTAGATTTAGAAGTGATCTTGTCTACATTGGTTAGAGTTTAGCCTCCAGTTTTCTCGGTGTGGATGTGACTCAGACGGCCTGCAGTTGTGGACTAGATCAGTGGTGCCAGCAAACGCTGCATGTGACCTTCAAGCTAGAAGGCTTGTCTGAGTTCCTTGAGCCTCTGATGTCACTCACTGGGTGAGTGAAGACTGGCATCCAGTGGTGGCCACCCTTGCCCGGGCTGGTAGTGAGTGGTACCGTAGCTCTGGAAGGATTTGGGCCATCTAGAATTTTGTGCTGTTGAGGTACCTTTGAGCTAGCTAAATGATTTTTATATTGAAGATCTTTATTCCCAAGAAAGCCTAATTTTCTTAAGTAAAACTTAAGTGCCCCTTGTTTTAGTTTTCAAATTCATTCAAAATTTGTTTCTCAGGTCAACTCCCAATTTAAGAATGCCTACACAGAGCAATTTCAATTCTCCAATTTTCAGGTATTAGAAGATTGCTTGCTAGTAGAGTGATGTTACAAGGTTTAAAAAACTGTGAATGGAATGATTTTTAGAAAACAGTTTGCCGGCATCATGCTGGGAATGTAAGAAATCATGAACCATTAGTCAGGCGATTTCTCTCTTGAGAGGAGGTAATTTTTATGTTGGCACTGGCATCTCCCTGACTTTTTATGTGTAGGATACAATATTTTATGAAGCATATGGAATTTTACACCTGGTGTTTCATAAACTTAGGAATTCTGTGGTGTTTCTTTTTTGATGACTTAAAAGGTTTCAGTACTCTCAGGGTTGGAATTTGAGTACTTATGGCTCATAGTGACACTCTGGACTGGGATTATGAAAGTCATTTAATCCTTTTCATTTGCAAAACAGTAGGAGAACTCTTTGTATGTACCAGTATCAAATATAATTTAAAATAGTATATGATAAAAGAGAAAACTGTATTTTCCTGGTTTCCTGCTATGTAGTAGTTTTATGTCATGGAGTATTTTGACATATTATTAAAATAACCTATGTATCTTTTCTTGGATGTTTCATTTTCTATGTTTATGAAAACACTCTGTAAACATACATACATATTTACATATAAAGTAAAAAAAAAAGCTCAAATGTTTGGCTGCATTTACTATATTTTTAAATTTTCTGTAGGAGAGAGTCTTATGTAGCTCAGGGTGGTCCTGGCTTGCTATGTAGCTGAGGCTGGCCTTGAATCCCCAGTTTTTCTGTCTGTCTCTTCCTTTCCGTGCTGGCATTACTGGTATGCACTGCCGTGTGTAGGTTATTCCTGCTGGGAATTGAACCAAGGGCTTCCTACACGCTAGGCAAGTACACCACCAATTGAGTTTGATCCCCAGTCCAAATTCACCTTTTTCTTACTAATTTCATGTCTTACCTTTTTAGTTGTTTGATAGATGGCATGATGAAACCCTACAGTCTCATAAACCATTACTAGAGTTTTAAAAAAGATTTATTATTTTAAACCGTGTATTTGTGTGTGGGTCTGGTGTAGGTATGTGTTGTAACTCCTGAGGAGGTACCGGACATCTGATCCCCTTGGAGCTGGAGGCCGGTGGTTTTGAGCTGCCTGACAGGGGTGCTGGGAATCAAGCTCAGATCCTCTGGAAGAACCGCTTGCCCTCCAAGCTACTGAACCAACTCTTCAAGGGAAAAGCTTAACACTTAAAAAAAGATTATTTGTTTTATTTTTATATTATGATATAATTACATCATTCTCTTTTTCTTCCTTCCAAACCATTCCTTAGCTTTCTTTCCAGTTCATAGCCTCTTTTCAGTAATTGTTTTACACACACACACACACACACACACACACACACACACACACGGACTCCTAAGCACATAAATACAGCGTGCTTACTCCGTAGAATGTCTCTTATATTTCTGTTTTCAGGGCTGAAGAGTTGGTTTTGGATAACCAATTAGTGTACTATTCCCTGGGGAAGGGAGACTAGAATTTTGCAGGAATTATTTGAGGCTCTTAAGCCTCTGGCATGTTCTTCCTTCCATAAGAATGAACGAGTGGCAGTGTTGCAAGAGATGCCTCAGGTGTTTCATTTATAGTCTTTAAGCTGTTGGGGATCTTAGGTTAAGAATGATAGTATCTTTGTATTTAAGTATTGCAATGAATCATTTCTTCTTCACATGCATTCAGTATATTTTGGGAAATGTTCTATATCATTCCCATTTCAATATATCTATATCTATCTAGATTAGGTTATCAGACTGTGAATTGACTTCAGTTTAATTATTCAATGAATTATTAGTTAATAATTATTAATAATTAAATAAAATTTTGCAGTGGAAATTTACAAGACTATTAAGGTTGATTTGACAATTTAGATTTGCTTCATGATGTCATCTTTGGTTTGATTTGAATCATTCAAAAAGTATTGTCTTTAAGTCTTTAAAAGACCTAGTAATTGAAATGGAACAGTGTAGTTAAATATTCCATAATACATGCTGAATATTTGTGCTTGGTATTTGCATTAATAGAAGTACCACCTCGTGCTGCATGTTGTTACAAGGAATGATTGGTTGCTTTTAAACATGCAGTCAGATTCTGTGTGTATCACTTGGATCAGTTTCACTTGATTCCTAGTTACGGTCCATTTCATTTCTGGAGTGGTACAGTTAATGCCTTGTTCGTAACAGCACCATAGTGAGTGGTACCGGCACCAGTGAGAAAACTGACTACTCCAAGTCAAGTTTGCTGCTTTTCTTCTGTAGCATTTCTTGGTTTTGGTGCTGACAACGAGAGGAAGAAAAGTAGAGCAGGAGAAAGGAAGAAGGGATTAAGTCAGTGAGTTCTAGCTCCAGGGGATAAAACCACCTTAAGACCATAGGTCACTTCTGAGCTTAATAATGTGTATTATTGTCCGGTCACAGCAAGCAAGATTTGAAAGCTGTCTTTTCTTTGATTTTTGAGTTTCTGGAAAGAGTACGGCTTCTGTGTTGGTTTATATAGTTTGGATGTCTGAAGCAGAACTCGTCAGCTCCAGCGGAGCTGTAGGGGTAAAGTAGTGGTGATGTGAACCAATGTGTCAGTGATGACTAATACATTCGCTGCTCATAAAGTTGGTTTCCCTCTGCTTTTGAATGGGAAATTTGAATGTTAAGGAATTACCAATTTATTTAAAAAGTAGATGTAGGATAATACTACTCGGTACAAAAGGAACTGCCAGGGTTCTCTCTATGCCGATTACTTTGGCATGCTTTCTTATCTTGATTTTATCACATTTCATGTAAGTTACTGTTCATTGATTTTATAGCTTATTTATTCAGATTGTATGTTACCCTTATAAAATAGTCTGATTATTAGACTTATTACTAGGTCACAGCAGTATTATGGGATAAGCATTTCCTTTTATTAGAATGGCTTTATTTTATATTTTTATTTTTATTTTTGTTTTTGTTTTTTTGAGACAGGGTTTCTCTGTGTAGCCCTGGCTGTCCTGGAACTCACTCTGTAGACCAGGCTGGCCTTGAACCATGAGAGCTGCCTGCCTCTTCCTCTCAAGTGCTGGGATCAAAGATGTGCATCACCATAACCTGGCATAGAGTAGTTTTAAAGATTATTCTCATTTTTTTCTTGTGTGAGTTGGAATGGTGATGGTTTGATTGAAAGGAATGGAGTAATTTCTAGAATACTTTGTTCTTTATGTCTACTGTTTTTCACTTTAACTATTCCTGAGTAGAATTATTTATCATACAGAATTGTTAAGATATTCATTGAATACAGATGACTAAATTAATTTTTAAATAAATTCATTTGGGATCATTGTAATGTGTTTAAAATAGGTAGAACACTTGTTTATTTAACACTGGTCATGTAATACTCTATTGTAAGAATGGGTGTGGTTTATCTGAACAGTCTGATATGTGACAGGAACAAACTCAATAAGTGATAGGTTGATGCACCATTTTTTCCTCCTTCCTCCTTTCTCTCCTTCCTTCCTGCCCATTTCTTTCTCAGGTAGTTGCCAAATAATATTGGTTACTGCAACAACTTGTAATATTGATTACTTGGTTAATAGACTGTTTAAAATTATAATGTGTTATGAGTGAGAACAGGGTGTCCAGATTAACATTAAGAATTTTAGAACTATTTCATATGGAAGCAAGGTATACCTTATGAAAGCAGTGTGAAAATAAATACTGTAATATGCTGGGTGTTTTATGAACTTTTCTGTAAATCTTAGGCCTTGATTACTTTACATGGTGATCACAGTCTGCTTTAGGGTAAAAAGCTATTCAGATCTTTTCTTGTTTGGTAGACTTACCGACAGGAAATTGTGTGTAAAGCTTGTTCTTTTTCATGCAGTTGGTTGTGATAGTTTTAAAAACCAATATATAAAGTCTGACTAGCCTTTAAAGTTAGGCTAGAATAGAAAACATTCA